TCGTAGCTCATTCCAAGGCAGAGTCGAGTAAAAGGCGTAGACCAGTAAGTGCTAAGTTTTGTCTCTACCTTCTCCAAGCTCGTACCTCCAGCCACATTGTAGGTAACATTGTCAGTCCAGTATCGCGAATCAAACGTGAATGTTTTCTGCAACAAGAAGAAAACAGAATGCATGCTACAAATTGCAGAAAAAACTTATCTATCCACTGATCGATGACATTTGCTTCTATTAAGAAAGAACATGTCCACGTTTGCACGACTTCAAAACTGAACGGAATAATTCTAGAAACGTTTCATTTTTCGCATTTACCCTTTGTGAGATAACAAGAAACGAGTTTACGAAGTATTTAGCAGTTCACGAAGACGAAAAAATTACGGTGGCTAAGAAGGCTCAAACACAAATCAGTTTCCCAAAACACAAATCAGTTTTCCAAAACACAAATCAGTTAACCAATACACAAATCAATTTCCCAAAACACAAATCAATTTCAAAAAACTGGGCACGACTTGTTATGAACGAGATGGCTTGGAAGGCAGAGTGACGAAATCGGGCCCAATATGGCGACGACATGGAATCGTGCAACTTTATCTCCTGTTTAAAAGTTTTGCGGTTATTGCGGCAGTGTACTGAAGAATACTATTCAATTTTGCGTAGTGTGGAAATTCTACGACCAATAACACTGAAGCTCATTCTCCCACGTTTGATTCGACCAGCAATAGGAATGGGAGAGCTGACTGTGCTGCAGCGCTGGAATTGCCATATTTGATTTAACCTTAATTTCTTCTAAGCCTGTTCCTCCCTCGGGGACACCTTCATAAATAATTAAAAGGATGAGAGAAAGTCGCAATTCAAAAAAAGAGCAAGGAAACTAAGAGGATAAATAGGAAAGATGACCCGCCTGTAACCGTCAACATTGGAGCATCATGACATATATTGAAGAGGAAAATTTGCTCAAGCGCCGACGAGGAAAAACTCTTCCACTAAGGAAGGGTAGAACAGCAGATGGGAGGGGAGCTATTAAAGTTAGGACTCGATGCATAATGGTAATGAAATTGTTTATAGCTCTCCATTGGCCTACAAACTGCTGTACCCAGGTAGGACTGCAGCAAAATCAAAGGGTGCCCCTGGCGAACTCGTGGATTAAGTATTTTAGAAATGAAGGCATATAATCAACTTGCAATAAACTACCGGTATTAGTCTGTCCAAACATGGGTCATACAATGAAAAATCTCTCTCACAAAGCTACACAGGGCTTAGTTTGCCGGCTTATGTTTGACACATTTTTACGATAAAAACATGTGAAGGAGCTTGGACTTTTCTGGCTATTCCATCATTCCAGGGCCATATGTGACAGTAGGTGCCTATATGAGGCTAGAGCCTCCTTGGAGAGCATTATTGTTTACTCGCCGCCCTCCCATATGCCACTGATAATTTCCTTTGCATAGATTTGCATGCTTTTCTGCTTACAACGAGTGCTGCGTCTAAGCCTTTTGCTTTGTTCATTGTCTATCTTTGTTTTTTGTTTTTCTTATGTATAAGCTGGCGTAATGATAATTTTTGTAATGATAATCTTGCAATTTTGTAATTTTTGCAGTTTCCTTTGCCATTTTTGTAATTTTTTCCTTTGTATGTAAATTTGTAATAAGGTGTTGTTAAATAAAAGGAAAAGTCTCCTTTATTTATTTTATAGACGTAAGGGTAAAATATAATGATATCTAGCGTTCGCAGACCTCAGTATTTAAATTTCTCATACAATAGAGAGATTAAGATTCACGTTTACGCCAAACGGTAAACGCGAATTTGTACCACGTGACCAAGTTTTCCCTTAATTGCCGTTAACTGTTTATTACTTCAACTAAATAATAAGTAGTTTCAAGCTAGTTTTATACACAAACATTTTTCTGGACATTTTTATCTGCTTATTTTCTATTTGGAGAAATTCTCAACTTGAATCTGACGTTTGCCGTTTGGCGTAAACGTGAATCTTTTAAGATTCTTAATCTCTCTTATGTCTCAACGGTCATATGTAACGCGACACCGAATCTCTTGAGAGAAAGTTAATTTACATTCGACACTCGTAACGTGAGCTTGGGACGCCTTGGATAATAATAGCCTAACAAAAGGTATAGCAGTGCCCAGCTTGATTTCACACTAAGGGAAGAACAAACATTCTTTTAAAACTTGTTGCCCGCAGCGTTGGTAGAACATTTTTCACGTTAACTGCTGATTAAAACAATGAAGATACATCCAGTACAGATAGTCGCCATATTAGATGCAAAAGACCCTGGGCTCGAATTGGTCATTGTACTTTCCAGGCCATCTCGTCATAATAAGGTAGTGACCAGTCTGTTGAAACTGAAACGAATTTGTGTTTCGGGAAATTGATTTGTGTTTTGGGAAGATTGATTTGTATTTCCGGAAATTGATTTATGTTTTGCGAAACTGATTTTTGTTTCGGGAAGATTGATTCGAGTTCGAGAAACTGAGTTATGTTTTGGGAAACTGAAATGTGTTTGAGCCTTTTGGGCCAAAGTAGAAATTAATGTCCACTGTTACTTCTTTTTCTAGCAAACTGTGAAAACCTTTTATTCTTCATTCAGTAAGACCTTAATCAAAGAAATATGCGGTGTTTAATATATTTACCTTCTTCCCATCGATCTTCATAACAAGCGTCCATCCCCCGTCCCCACATCCGTTAATTGGTGTCATGTGACAGAACACTTCCTCATATCGGGATGGTAGACCAGTGCGAATGTAAAAGGTTCCATCAACACGGATACTGAAAGGTCAATGCAATGAAATGCGAAAAATGTTCAAGATCACACACAGGTTGATTTATTCGGAACGTGATTCAAACAATGTAAATATATCGAAAGGTCTATAACAGATTGTTTGCGGCGACGTGACTCAACGATTTATCTCATTGTTCCCTGGATGAAAATCATCCCGTTCTCTGTTCACGACATTTTATTCTAGACTACAGCAAATCGATTTTCATAGTCCCTGGGTAATGCGCTAGGAAGTATAAAACACTAAATAATCCATTTGTCGGATATAACTCATATTGCTAATTTCACTATCTTAATTAGTTTTTAGTTTAAGCGATTCGTCTCGATGCACAATAACCCCAAAGCTTAAATTTTATATACTCTTAGAGTACTTCCTAACACATTTACACTATAACAGCTTAAAATACGTGTCGCGTATGTCGTATGAAGTCTCGAGATGAATTGATTATAGTTGTTTTACATGTTCGGTGACTTTAATAAAAGGTTTGTTATATCAACAGGGGCAAGACTATCTATATGGACAGGAAGCTTTCAAAGATTATCGAAACAACTGTACTAACACACTACTGACATCAATTGCGCATTGTTAATTAGGCGAGGGCATAGAATTGAGGGGAAAAAGCATGAAACGATCATGCAGAAATTTAATGATAAAATATTAGTCAACATTTTAGTAAGGCTAATAGAACACTTTGTCTTGCCGGATTGTTCCACGGATGTCAAATCTCAGGCATACACTACCCTTGTGCGTCCTCACCTACAGTATGCGTGCTCTGTGTGGAATCCGTATACTAAGCGGAATATTCACCATATCGAACTAGTTCAGTATAAAGCAGCAAGGTTCGTTTGTAGACACTACTCAAATTTTAGTCATGTTACTCCCATGCTAAAACAGCTTGGTTGGGATCCCCTCAACGACGCAGACTTTCGTACCAATTGTCAATGTTTTATAAAATCCAACAAGGTTTAGTTGGTATCTCCCTTTCATCTGAAGTATGTCCACTAACAAGGGCTTCTCGAGCCACAATGCATTCCCTTTTCGTCATATTCAATTCAGTTGTAACGTTTCTAAATATTCGTTCTAACCAAATTCAATAGAAGCCTGGAATAAGTTACCTGTAATAATAATAATAATCATCTTTATTGAGGAAACTTTTTCATAAAAGATATAGTTTTCAAAAAGGACCTCAAAACTAGATATATATTATAAAAACAAAAAAAAGCTATAAAATTCCAAAGGGACTAAAAAGATACAAAAAATGCATAAAAAATTAAAAATAAGTATATGTAAAAATCAAACGTAAGTAGCTATATTAAAAACTTAAAAACATTACGTTTAAAACTATTTACATTACTTGAGTCTTTGATCGTCTGACTGAGGGAGTTAAAATCGGAAACGGCATGATATTGTGTTCTTTGCTTCCCCCAATTTCTTTTGACACGTGGTAATCTAAAATTGCCTTTGTTACGTGTATTATGCCTATGAAGTAGGTCTCGTCTAATCAAGTCCATATCGTGATTAATTAGGCCATTGATGCATTTGTATACGTGTACACACCTTCTTTGAAATCGCCTTTTCTCTAGAGGCAGCCACTTGAGAACGGCTAATGCCTCAGTGGAGGATGAGTACAATGGTCTATTTAAAATAACTTCAGTGGCCTTATTTTGCAAAACTTGCAAACTAGACATAAGGGTAATATTATGTATATCGCCCCATACTAGATCAGCATATTCAAAAAGGGGCATAACAAGACTTTTATAGAAAAGTAGACGCCCCCTGAAACGCAATAAATGCTTTATACGCTTTAGAAGCCTAAGCCTCTGATTGATTTTCCCAGTTAGGTGTACAATATGATCAGTCCATGTGAAATCCGAAGATATATGTATACCGAGGTATTTAAAGCTGCGAACATTACTTATACTATGATCTAAAATTGGAACAGTCAAATCTACTTTGCTTTCGCGTTTCCTATTACTACCGATAACCTGCATTTAGTTTTGTCCAAATTTAAAGTCAGTTTGTGATCATGAAGCCATTTCGCCACACCCAGTAGATCGTTATTTAACTTATCACTCAACTCCTTTGAGGATGTACCATAGCAATAAATTACAGTGTCGTCTGCATAAAGTGACGCGTAGCAGGAGTTAAGCACATTTGGCAAGTTAACTGTAACTACTAATATTTTTCCTTTCACTAATGGTATAATGCCCACAATAAGTTGCATGATTAGGTTTTTTATAGTACTAAATTTTTGTGTCGATAAAATCTTAAAAACAGTAATTTTATAATGTATCTCCTAGTATAGTGTACACTGTTTTAGGAGTATCCCTAAAGTATTAAACTGTAGGCCATATTGAGAACAACTACAGAATCTAGAATGCGAAGTCGAAGTAGTTTGTCTTGGTAGCTTATTTTCCACAGGCCAGTTTCAAGTTTTCTAAAGTTTTGAGATGAAAATGAGGGGAATTCCCAGAGTTTCAATTTTGGCGTCCAAGTCTTCTTTATGCTTATCTTATAAAATTTAAACCTCCAAAAAGGCGTGTGTCACATTACACAGAAGAATAACATTAAAAGCTGTCAAATGAGGACGTGGTCTTATATTACTCTCACTGAGACATGAAGTCAAGTGAATATACCATCCTAAGTTGTCTCAATAAAAAGAATGTTAACTATTGTTACATACTTAGTTTTTTTCCAGATTTCTTTGCATGAAATGGGAAGGCTGTCGTCGGAATCTAGGAAATCAACAGATCTTATACGTTAATTTTGGTATAACAGGTAAACGGGTAATGGAGTTAAGGCAAGTTAGTTTTCGCCATTTTAGAAGTTATATCTACCTTGACCTGGACGACAGGCACTCTCTGATGCGCAACTGCAATCACACTGATTTAGGGATTGCACCTTTCTCGGAGGAAGCATCCTTTCCGCAGGCTATGATGAGAAAAGGTTTACGGTTAGGTTTATTAAAAAATCTCGCCAAACCGAAGGGGTAGGAAAGGATATATACGAAAAGGGGGGAAAGTAACAATCCAAGTGAAAAATATGGCTCCAAGATTTGATTGCATATTTCCTACTGTGCTTAGTTCTACGTTTTGTCGTTTTTACCCCTTCCTTGTTTAAGAACTTACGGGACGTCCATGCTTACTCAAACCCCCACCTTGGGAACATCAATTAATTTTTATGACGTCAACATCTCGTAACTATGGCTAGAACTACGGTAACGAGCTGAACCAGTTTAGCTTTTAATTTTTTACTTTACTCTGCTTGCTGTCCGTTGCTGGTGCAGAGCTGGGCTAGGGCTTTCCACAAGTTGCTCGGCAACTTTTTGGTAACTTTGATCAACGTCTCTAGTTATCTTCTAATTCTGAGATATCGAGCAGATTTTAGTGCTTAAATTGGCCTTTCTTCCATATTTCGAAATGTTTTAGTAGATGATTTATGAATTTCCTGTAAAAAAAGAGGAGCCAAATCCTCCCAGCTGGGCTGCTAGGTCAGCGGTTTTTAGAGAAAATGCAAAATAGTGGACGAAGATTCACACTCGATTAACTTGGGTTTCTCGAATGAGGAATGTCAATTAACATTTTTATTGGCTCATTTTTTGGTTTTAATTGAGAACAAAGTTGTTTAGCAACGCTGGTTACGACGCAAAATTGCACAAAAATGCTTCAAAATCTTACTTTTGTTGTCCAATTTGCTTATTTTAGAATCAGACCAAAAAAAGGTTTTGTTTTTTTGAGCAACTTGTGAGCAACTTTCGTTTCAAAAAGCAACTTTGGATTGTTTTTTGGGAAACTTTTGAACAACTTTTTGAGCAATCGCGGGAAACTTTTTGGAAAATCTCGAGCAACTTGTAGAAAGCCCTACGCTGGGTTATTGTAACTTGGAAGTCCAAAAACAAAATTGTTAAATAAAAGAAGCCACACTGAACATAACAGCTCTAGTTCCCCGTTTTATTCCCACGCAAACGCATTGATGTAAACGTAAGTGGCATATACCATGTTGTTTTTCCGCCGTTTTGGTGGATTCCCCCACAAAAGGTGGATTCCCTTCATTACATATGCAGGATTCCCTCGCAAAAAGTGGATTCCCTTCATTACATATGCAGGATTCCCTCGCAAAAAAGGCGTTCCTCCATACTAATAAGTGGGTTCCTCCTTATCTAATGAGCGTTTCTCTACTACAATAGGCACAATAAGGATGCCTAGACTTGCCCGTTAAGTAACTTTAACCCGTTCTGTCGTACCGTCAAGAGCCATAATGGGACCGTCTATTTTAAAAAAAGTAGGAATAACAGGAGTGATCATCTGGCAACGCAAGAAACGGCTTATGTATTCTATTCAGCGCTAAAAATCGGATATTTATATATACATATATGTAAACAAAACACACACATACACAAAGTGGAGCTGAAAACTCTTTTTTTCAATTATGACTATTACAAAACCGTTTTTCCCAGTGTAGCTAATGTCGATGAGTTTAGAGAGGAAAGGTTTGCTGAGTTAGGGTGTTTACCTGTTCTTAATATCGTCTCTCCAGTATCAAATATTCCTCACCTTTCGAATATTGATATTGATTTACATATGCCTTCAGATACGAATTTTGGTTACTATACACCACATGACTTTCACAGTAGCAATAATATAATTGAGTGCTTATCAAATCATAGGGCATTTTCAGCGATGCATTGCAACATAAGAAGTTTGTCTGCTAGCCATGACAATCTTATTCATATGTTACATATATATCTGGGTCACATATGTATCTGAGTTAAATCATTCTTTCCCTCTGATTGGACTATATGAAACAAAGATCTCTCATGGTAAAGATTTGCTCGTTAATGTTAACTTATCAGGATATGGCATTGCTTTCTAGATTAAGAATGATTTTAAGTACATTATTATAACAGAATTTACAAATCTACTCATGACTTTGAAGCCCTATGACTTGAAATTGATTTTTATTATCAACCTAAGCTTTTATGTGGAATAATTTATAGACACCCAAATAGTAATGTAGATAATTTGATGGATTACATTAATTCATGATCAACAATTGAACATACTCAACAAGAAAATAAGTTTTGTTTATTCATGGGTGATTTTAACATCGATCTTCTAAAAACTGATTCTCATGCTGACTCCGAACTTTTCCTTAATTCCTTGGGCACATGTCTTTTTCCATCCACATATTCTTCAACCAACGAGAATTACTGACCACTTTGCTACATTGATTGATAGCATTTTCTTTAATTCAGTAGAACATATCACTATCTGTGGGAATGTGGTGTATGATCTGTCTGATCATTTACCAAACTTTGTTATTCTAAATAGATTTTCCGATGTGTCATCCAATCCAAAACTCTATAGAAGAGATTATTCAAACTTCAATCAATCTGCATTTCTAAACGATGTCTGATCAGTCGACTGCCAATCCGTTCTAGAATGTGACTCTTATCCTTCTAGGATGTTTGATTCTATTTACCAAATACTTCGTCAAATTGTAGATAGACACATTCCTACTAGACGACTCTCCAAAAGCGAACAAACATTTTATTCTAAACCATGGAAAACACCTGCACTAAAGACCTCAATTCGTGTGAAAAATGCATTGTATAGAAAATACAAGACTAAATCTGTATATGTTCATTGTAAACTCAAATATTATAGAAACAGGCTTAGTCACTTATTAAGAGCTACAACCAGTTGCAAAAGTACTTGAGACACTGTATGGTATTTTGGCATAAATGGCCTGTCCATGATCTTGTGCTTGTGATCCCCCCTCCACCCATTATCAAAGTTGCTAGCAATACAAGACCATACTCAAAACTTGGAGGAACAACTTTGAATGGGAGGGAGGAGGGAGGTCAGTATTACATTTTACAGACCTGTGACCACCAGCGATTTGAAGCAAGAAAGGTCGTTTTTCCGTGGGAGTGTCTCAACATTTTTGCAACTGGTTGTAGTAAGAGGCTATATTATAAAAATTAGTTTTTAGTGAAAATTAATAATAGTAAAAAGGTTGGAATAGTACCAGAGAGATAGTTCACTTTAAATCAAAGACAAGTCAGAAAATTATCAAAACTGTTCAAAATAATGTTAAATTAACTGACCCAAAATTAGTTGCGAATGCATTTAACAATTACTTTGCAAATGTAGGAGTTAACTTGGCCAGATTAATTCCTAATGTCAACAAATCTCCACTAGATTATCTCAAAAATCCCTCATGTAAACATTTTTATTTATTTCCAGTAACTCCAGTTGAAACTGAAAATGAAATTACTAATCTAAAATCTGAGAAGACCACTGGCTTATATAGTATCCCTGTGAATATACTTAAAATTCTCAAAAGTGTCATATCAGCGCCCCTAGCAAACTTGTTTAATACCTCTTTATCAACTGGAATTGTTCCTTCCAAGTTTAAAGTTGCAAATGCAATTCCCATTCATAAAAAAGGTTCTCATACTGACCTGTGTAATTATCGTCCAATCTCTTTACTTTCTACGTTCAATAAGCTTCTAGAAAAAATTGTGTCTGGTAGACTTTTAAAATTTCTAGAAAAGGAAAAGATGCTTTTTCCAGGTCAGTTTGGCTTCCGTTCTAATCATTTCACTGACTTTGCCATTCTCAGTATTATTGACAAAGTTCAACAGGCAATTGATCAAGGTGATCTATCATGTGGTATTTTTCTAGACTTTAGTAAGGCATTTGACTCTGTAGATCGTGTTATTCTTATTGAAAAACTTGCCTTCTATGGCCTAAGGGGTATTGCTAAGGACTGGTTTACTTCATATCTTACTAATCGCCAACAATTTGTTACTGTTATTGGCATAGTCTGACCTTACTAATATATCGTGTGTTATACCTCGGTCCAATTCTTTTTTAATTACATATTAATGACTTTCATCTTTGTCCAACACTCTTTGACTTCCACCTTTTTGCTGATGATGCTGATCTCTTTTGTAGACACAAAGACATAAATATACTACAACAAAATATAAATACTGAACTAAAAAATGTTTTTATGTGTCTTCGTTCTAACAAGCTTTCACTAAATATACAGAAATAAAGTATTGTTATCTTCCATCCTCCACAAAAAAAGATTTCCTGTGATTTCCAGTTAATCTTAGAAAACAAGTGCTTAAATCAGGAAAAGTGTATAAAATATCTTGCTGTCTTCATTGACTCAAGTTTGTCGTGGAAATCTCAGATTCAATATATTTTAACCAAAATAAAGAGAAGTGTTGAAATATTATCCAAGATTCGCTACTATGTTGATGTAAATGCTGTCTAACCTCTACTATGCTTTAATTTATCCTTTTTTGATTTATGGAATAATTGCGTGGGGCAACACTTTTTTAACAACTCTCCAACCTCTCTTTATTTTACAGAAAAGAACTATTTGCCTTATGACCTTTAAAAGTTTTCATGAACACTCGAGTCCAATATTTAGAAAATTGAACATAATCAAGCTGGATGATTTGATATCATATCATATTGCAGTTTTTATGTACGATTCAACAATTCCTTATTACCTTCCGCTTTTGATGTACTTTTCTCTTAAGTAAGTGAGATCCAACATTACAATACACGATCTGCAGCTAAACAGTCATATTACCTTCCCAAAGCTAGAACTAATTATGGAAAATTTAATATTAGATTTCAAGGACCAAAGATCTGGAACTCAATTGATGATAAGATTAAAGCAGTTTCTCTTTCTCAATTTAAATAAAAAATTAAACAACATTATCTTTCGCTGTACTGATATTGCCAATTATCTTGTACTTCGTAACTTCCGTGCTACTTTTTCGCTCTTCTTAAGGTAATACGTGTTAGTGTATATGTGTATATCTGTGTGTTTGTGTGTATACAGTCTGATATGCTGCCATATTGTACCCCGCACAATAAACTTATTTAAATTATCTTATTGAATCTGGCTTCTTGGCATTTCTAACTTATTAGTTATTTCAGGAAGTCCGTATTCCTTTTAGTTAATTGATTAATTTAACAACTTGTAAAATAACTATAATATTCTACTTTGGATACAATAAATTGTTGTTGCTGTTGTCAGTTCTATGTCAAGGAAACGAGTAACTATTGAAGTCCCCAGAACTTGGAGAGTTTTAATTGCCTTCTTTCACGCACCGTTAGTCAGATAATTATGCGATTTAACAAGCTCGCCGTTGCATATAAATTAGTTCAGCTCTGCAGAAAAAACCCCAAGGAAGAACCTTGACATATTATTATAAAAACACAAAACAATAAAACACTTAACAAGGATCAAAAGAAGCATTATCAAAATAGCGCACGCGGTAATTACGCTGGGAAAGTGAAGAGTTTAAAACCACGGAAAAAATAATGTTGTATGGTGGATAACCAAAAAAGGATGAAGGATACATACTGGCTATTGCGAAAGCATTTGTTAGCCAGGAATCATGAGTTTTGTAGTCGGTTTTGATTTAAGGCTACTCACAATCCAATGGAACCAAAAGAATTGTCACCAACGAGGATTGTTTAGGTGTACCTGGAACCTCAAAAGTTAGAGTGTCCATGGTAAGGAATTATTATCATTTCGAGGACTTGAAGGTTGTGTTCTCGAGTAATTAGTGGACTAGCTGTGGGGCATGAGATTTGGTTTGGTTGACTCTCTTCCTTTTGTAAGACCTTGAATGGGATAAACCATACAAAAGCCAACGATGCTAGTGTGATATTTCAGCGCACGACTTAACTTTGAATTATTGGTAAGTCAAGCGACATCGATAGTAATAATAAGAAAATGTTTACTTAACCTGTGAAGAACATGACACAAATACATAAGCTTAACTGAAACGACTTCCATTCATTGTTTTCAGATATATATTTGATTCAGTTGTATTTGATAAATGTTGCGTCACAGTTAGGTAAAGCCGTTTTCTGATATATTTGATTCAGTTGTATTTGATAAAGGTTCCCTCACAGTTTTTGGGGCCTCTTATTAGCTATGTAGTGGGACCTTTTTCTTAGTAATGTTGCCTCACAGTTATAGGTACGTCTTTAGTTATCTAATTTGAAGGGGCCACTTTTGGCATCCAATCTGAATATTTGCCACATTCTGGATATTATCAGCCCTCTGGCGATTTTCGCGGAAATCGCCAATTTCGCCAAAATCGCCAGTCTCCAAGGGGCCACCTTTGGCATCCAATTCAAATCATCAGAGGCTGGCCATTTTTCGCCATTTCCGCCATTGCATGCATTTCTAGACATAAGTGAATACATAAGGAACTGGTCACGCTTTATGGAATTTGCGTTCTTTCCTTTTATTTAGTACAACCGGTTCCCCAGTATAACATCCAAGTTGGGTCTGTAATAATTCACTTTTTCTCTCAAGGACAGAGGGACGGCTTTGCAAAGGTTCAATGTGATTCAAACCTGGCAGATTCTTCCAATCTAGGTTGAAATCTGTAAGACAGTTTCGACCAAACAAAGCACCAGTTCCCTTACGTTCAATTCGAAAAAGCAGCGTGTACTGTGATCCAATGTACTCAACCTTCATATGTGCTTCTCCTAAGGGACGCACAGTCTCAGCTTTGTATGTCAACAGCACAAGCTTTGTAGATTTCATTTCAACACCAGGGCAGACTTCCTCCCGAAAGTAATAGGGGCGAGAGATAACGCACACCCAGTGTCTAACTACATCAGACAATCCTTGTCTTCAATCTTCAGTGGCACGAAATTTCAGACCTGGATATTGCATAAATAGCGTCCACCACGTACAACTCATCTTCCTCAGGTAATTTTTCCTCAAGCAGCTCTTCGAAACTCATGGCAGTTACTCCGCCCTTCTTACAAACTCGAGCAATATGTCCGCGTAACTTGTAATGGCGACAAACAGTATTCCTAAATTTGCATTTAGATCTTAGATGGTTAAAACTACCGCATGAAAAGCAAGTATAAGAAGCCACCGGCTGAGATGTGGAAGAGGTCTGGCGAGGAGACAGCCGCGAAGTAGACGCAGAAGGTGACGGTAAGGCAGACAACTCCTTCGCAACTGAACTCACTCGTTGAGGCAATTGTTGCTGTTACACTTCCAAAGTCTCTTTACCCGCCATCTCGTCGGCGATAGCCACTTGGAGAGCCTCTTGAAAGGTTCGGTCTACACTCAACAGTTTTTTTGGAGTCGCAGGATTCCGAATACCAAACACAAAGTGGTCGCGGAGCGAGCAGTTCAGGAATTCGCCAAAAATACTAGTGGCACCCAAATGTCTTAATCGCGCATTGTAAACCGACAAGGTCCCATTTTCTTGACAACATCGATAAAATCTGTAGGATTCGGCAACTTCAAATCGCTTGGGCTTAAAATGTCGTTGCAGCAGTTCACATAAAGCCTCACATATATGTTTTGTCTTTTGTATTGGTAGGGCTGTACAAATCACGAAGAGTGCTGTAAGTCGTCTTACCAATTGCGGAAACTATCACGGCGATCTTTTTCTGATTAGCCGCCCGAATAACAACCGCATAAGCATCCTGAGCACATTTTCCAATATCGTTGGCTACAAAGAACTGGACAACCCTTTTAAGGTAAGCCGTTAACGTCTCAGAGAACGGACCGGATTCACAACAAAACCAAACAACGGTGAAGCCATGGCGGGATTCGCAAACTCTCCAGCGAACACGTGTGTGTGAGCACAAACGAAAAAAATTAAGTAAAAGAATGTCATCCAGTTTAGGAAATAGCGGAAAGTTGCCAACTGTATCCCATCATCGTCGCCAGATGTTGTAACTTGGAAGTCCAAGAACGAAGTTATTAAATAAAACGAGCCATACTTAACATAGTAGTTCTAGTTCTTTTATTCCCTGTTCTCATTCTACGCAAGCGCATTGATGTACACGTGACACCACTATGACGTTCATTAATGTAAGACAACTATCAGGAAAGAAAGTCACGATATAACATGCCGGCGACCCACGAAGTTTTAGCAGACGCTTTCTACTGAGACGCAGGATCAATTTTGTACAGTCTTTTACTATCTAACTGGACAAGACCAAAACGAAATGACAATGAAAGAGAATCAACGCTCTATATTCTTTTTAGGAAAGCTAGTTCAGTGAAGTCAATATAACGTATTATTACTTCCTCCATCATGGCAGATACTTCCTATTAATTATTTCTAAGGAAAATACAAGTCCCAATATTGCGCTGTATTTGTTAGGTGGAGTGACAAGATCATGTTCCGAACTTATTTCATAAAACTTACTGCCACTGTGGATATTTGTTACTATGTTTTTCTTTTTTCACTTTTTCTTAGCTCTTCTTGTTTGGGGGATGTTTGCAAATTATCACTGGCATGATTTGTGATCACAACCCTGGGCTTCTTCGCAATATAACTGCTAACAATCTAATTACCATATTGCACACGAACAAAGCAAAATAGAATTTCGAAGTCAATAATATATTTGATGTCTCTGATTTCAACTAGGAGAATATTTGATGAGCATCCTTATTATCTTCGGGATGTCTGAGCAAAATGAAATTATTTTGGAGCCCTTTCAACAGCAAAGGTAATAGAGAGCATTACCAATTTTGCAACAACCGTCAGGCAAACTGTGCTCTTGCAAGCGAATAATCGAGTAAAAGTGTCATTAATATTCCTTGGAAATGGAATATCGTGAACAATGACGTTTCATCATTTGATAATTGTGTTCAAGAAACTACAGAATACAAAATACTGTCCTTGAATTACATGGTTGTCATTTCTACTTTACCTTCTCATTTAAAAAGCCTTGAATTTAATCGTGGTGTTCTTCACTAACATTCTAGTTTTTAAATATTACTGACTGATAGCTGGCCTCATACTAATCGTATAATTACTGTCACTTAGTGGTACATCGCAAACATGTTAAGACGAAAAAAAATGGCGAAAATGGGAAAATTCGAGTTCAGATTCGAGTTTAGATGCTCTTTTTAATGATGCCTAGGTAATTCGTGGAGAAACAACATTATGTATTGGCCCGGGTATCAGACGTGATCAACCACTCAGTCAGTCCACATCACAAAAAAGGCCTGCCATTTAATAACTCAATGCAACTTTAACTCTCTCTTTTAGTTTCATTTAGTTCCTTGAACACCATATCATGTTATATTGGTAAAGAAGAATATTATTTATTTTACTATTATTTTTGCGCGGGGAAACAGTATTTAGAAACTCAAAGTTATGTATATGATCCAGTTAAGTTTTTACGAAAGTATGCGAGTATAATATGAACTACAATCTCCTTTATTAAAGAAAATATGCGTGTAATATATGAACCAGTGTTTCCTGACTGCCTTTATATGAAGAAGCAAGAAATGCACCAGTATATATTATCTACCGCAAAGTTGAGTTTTGAATAAGTAAAATGAAAGCAAAACAGTCAAGTATGGAAGTGGAGGGGCGATCGTGATATTCTTACCTTGATCTGATGAAAGACCACTCCATGCATTTTCACCAGTTCGTCTGCTCCGGTTAAAGGTTCGTGGATACCTTCTACATTCAAATCACAAGCTCTCGTAATCGTGTTGTAATTGTACGATACACACATTTCTTCGACTTGGCAGGCTAAGGTGCAGCTAATCCAGTCTTGCACAAAGAGAGTTTTTATGACATAATTTGCGAGGTAACTGTTCCCTTTAGTAAGTGAAAATCCAGTCGCAAATGGCATTGCGATGAAAAATGTCACTAAAGCAAAAAAAATAAGGCATGATGATGCAACATGTTCCATTTCATGTACCTGTCTCCAGATTCGTCTGCTTGATTTTAAGTATATTAGTCAAGAGACCTTTTACATAGCAGTTTTAACTCTGGACTTGCACAGTAAAGATAAATCAAACGCGTCTTATGCCAGCGAAGAGTTTCTCACTAGAGCCAGTTCAGTAACTTAAGATTGACATATCATCAAGATAGGCAGACAGCTGACATTCTAGCTTTCATTATTTCAGCAAATCAATAGACCTGTCTTCAAGAAAAACAGCTAAGAATAATTACTGACAGAAAGTGCAAACAACGAGCTCAAATTCTCTGTTTACACTAAACAATTGCCCACAGTCGTCGACTCAAATTCTATTTATAATGCAGGTAATATCAACAACTGGTCGCCTGCTGAATGTTGCTAATAGTATTAAGGCTTCCCTACAAAATTCTACGCGAATTGTTGAGCTTTTATTGGATGCAAACAGTTTTAATTACTTATTCATATTGCTTCGGGAAATTCTTCGTACTTATTGCCTTCCTTTTGTATTTGATCAGGTGTCTTTACTATACATACCAAAGTGGCACACAAACTCACGTGCATTATAAAGGTGGGTCGATTTAACTTCAATTGCAACTGACGTCACAAGCCCATTAAAATTTACATTTACACAACAAACTTTAGGAAATATTTTAAAAATTGAAATTTTTTGTCACTTTTCTTCTTCTCTGGGTTGTATTTTGAATAAAATATTAATATCAGTTGGCTGTTGTACAAGTTATATTGCTACAGTTTACTGTAAACAGGTGATGTTCTCTTCTTTATGAAAAAATTGTCGTAAACCGCTTTATTCTTAAATTGCCAAAATAATTTTTTGTGAACTCGTGTTTTAGAGCTGAGAATCTGTTCTTAAATTGGCTCTAAGTGCGTTGAAAAGAAACTCTTATAGCTGGAGCACGTGCTTAAAGGCGACAGGCCTGGTGCGGTGCTTGTACTGGTCGGACGTGTGTTTAAGAGCTCTCCGAGCTAAGATTAGAATTTGCGTCTTTTCTTCTGCCAATTATGACCGGGAATGAAAAGCTGAGGAAGGAAAATCAATCTTTACGAAATGAGATAGCTGAATTGAAAGAAAAACTCCAAAAACTCGTCAAAGAAAGCGGAGTTGACGAAGCCGGACGCCGAGAAGAAAATGTCGTCAGAACGTGCTCATTCGCTTGAATTCGTCTCCAGTAAATATGACGACCTTGTCGCCTTCAAAGACGAAGCGGTGAAGCAAATCAAACAACTGTTTACTAGAGTCGCCGAAATCTCCATTCTCTGCGACCGAATTGCTAAATCCATCGACACTCTTGAAGCATACAGTTACCAGTTTAATGTTAAAATTGTGGGTATGCCAGCTACAACGCAAAATGAAACCTCCGATCAAACTGTAGCTCTCTGCCTTAGGCTGTTTGAAGCCCTTGGAGTTGAAGATGTTTCGCTTAACGACATCGATATTGCTTATCGGATACCGAGCCGTTCTGCCTCGAACAGGCCGAATGTTATCGTTTGCAAATTTACTCGAAGACTGGCAAAGGGAAAAGTTATGGCTCCGCGAAGGAGATTGGAGAACCTCGAGGCGTCACAGTTAGGCTTCCCTGACGATTTTGATATCAGTCATATTAACTTGTATGATCATCTAACTCCTCGACTACAGGAGCTTCTCTTCGAGAGCAAGAAATACAAGAACGCCAATAACTTCAAATTCTGTTGGGCGAAAAACGGAGCTGTCTGTCTGCGCAAAACGGAAACATCAACAGTCATAAAGCTAACAAGCCTCGACGAATTAAATGAACTGAGGGAGTCAGGATAAGCTAAGTACTTTGAGATATTAGAGTTGCATTAAGCGGGGTAATTCTGAAAACCTTCTTCGCTCTATCGCTTAAATTAGCTTAAAATGAAGTTACGCCGTAGAAATAAGGTCCAAGAAAAAGCTCAAAGATCAACACTCAAAGAGCTGCCTTACTTTACATTTAGAGGCAATCTAGCCCTCTTTCATGGCCAATTTAATAATTCGGTGTCCACTACTTCCCAGTTATCAAAGCGTAAAGCCAAACAGCTTTCTAAGCCTTGGATTACTACTGGATTAAAAGCATCCATTATGGTTAAAAACAAATTGTATGTGTCCGGTGACGAAGACAAATACAAATATTATAGAAACAAAATTTGTAGCCTGATACGTCTAAGTAAAAAGATATACTATCAGGATTATTTCGAACGCCACAAAACAAACATGAAAAAGACATGGAAAGGAATAAAGGACGTCTTGCATCGCAGAAAGAAGACCAAAATTATAACTGCTATTAAGGGCACGAATAAGAGCAACAAAATCGTAAAAGAACCTTCACAGGTCGCTAATATTCTTAATGACCATTTTTCGTCTGAAGGAAATAGGCTAGCTAGCACAATTCCAACGCCACAACAACATTATCTTAATTATGTTAGTCATTACAAAGCACCATCTTCATCTTTTCTATTCTTATCGGTAACGTCCGACGAAGTGAGATTTCACATAGTCTCCATACCAAACAACAAGTCTTATGGTCTATATTCATCTCCCATAAAATTATTTAAGTGTGCAAGTAGTATCATAGCTCCTATTCTATCAGAAATATTAAATATCTCATTGACACTAGGAAAATACCCCTCAAAACTTAAAGTGTCCAAAATAACTCCAATATTCAAGAGTGGTGAAGATAATGATGCGAATAACTACAGGCCTATATCCTTATTATCTAACTTTAACAGAATTTTTGAAAAGATCATGTACAACGGAATGAAAGATTACATTGACAAACATAACTTATTGTATTCCTCCCAGTACGGTTTTCGTAAAGGTCACTCGACTCAACATGCAATATTAGACATTGTAAACGCAATACAAATTAATATGAATCACGGCCTTTTCTCGTGCGGAGTCTTCATAGACCTCAAGAAAGCTTTTGATACTGTCGATCATAACATTTTGCTTGACAAACTTAATCACTATGGTTTTCGTGGAATAATTAATGATTGGTTCTCCTCGTATTTGAAAAATCGGATGCAATCTACCCAAATCGGACCATACATTTCAAACAAAGCCAACGTAAGTTATGGCATTCCCCAAGGATCTGTGCTCGGCCCGTTGCTTTTTTTATTGTATGTTAATGACATACATCAATGCTCGAATAAACTTAAGTTTTATCTCTTCGCAGATGACACTAATATCCTTTATGCCGATAAAAACTTAAAGTCCCTAGAAAATATAGTAAATATCGAATTACAAAACCTCCACGAATGGTTAACATCCAATAAGTTAACTCTCAATACTACAAAAACTAACTTTGTAATCTTTCATCCTTATCAAAAAAAAAGTCACTTACCAACCGAGCCTCTATATGTTCGATAACGAAAAAAATGGAAATGTAACTCTAGAGTCCAAAAATTATATTCAATATCTTGGTGTGTTGATTGATAAAAATCTTACTTGGAAATATCACATTGACGCCGTTACGGCAAAAATCAGTAAAACCGTTGGACTAATTTCAAAACTTCGGCACTCCATACCCCGTCATATACTGTTATATATTTACCAAACATTAATCCACCCTCACCTAAACTATGGTCTTGCTGCCTGGGGTCAGGCATCCAAGACGTCCCTCAATAAAATTTTAATTCTCCAGAAGAAAGTGCTTCGCATGATGTATTTTACGGATATACGTGAACACGCAATTCCTCTATTTATCGACGCGGACATATTACCAGTGTCATTTATGTATTATAAAACTGTGGCTAATCTAATGCACGATATTAACAACAACAATTCGCCAACAAATCTGCTCAATTTATTTGAAAAAACCTCAACAATTCATTCTTACTATACAAGATCATCTAGTTCAGGTAACTTTCACGTCAAAAGCTCAAAGCTGGAAATACACAAAAACTCCTTGTCTCGCTTTGGTGTAAAACTTTGGAATGAGATGCCTTGTCATATTAGAGATCTTCCTAAAAAGAAATTTAGGAAAGTACTTCACAGATTGCTTTCGGATATCTTAAAAAGAGAAGATGACCACTGCGTGAAATAAGTAATTTAGTGGAATTTACAGGGCCACGATACTCCCATGGCACTTAGCAAATCGTATACCGACACGCGAGGTGTCATGAAACGCGGCGTTTCAGAGAGTGTCCGTGTCCCCGATACCTCTGTCGTGAAAAATCAGGACAAATCGTGGCCCGGACACGTCTTCTGCGGTGTGTCAAGAAATATACGAGCTCTGATTCTTAACGATATCAGTTAGCCAAAGCTATGTCGACTTTCGACAGTGAGGTAAAATGGCATGAAAACTGAAATTTAGGAAAAATTAAACTTTACCTAATAAAAACACAACTAACTCATTTACGCAAACTTTCCAAGGTACGCCGAGGTTGTTAAAGATTTACGCACTTGGCTTAAAGGTTGAATGAAGGTAACATAAGGTTGCAAAAATTTTACGCTCATTCTCTTACCCGAGATATGAAAGTTGAGTAACTGTAAGGTTACCACGTTCACTCTGGTAGCAGGATCTGTTTTCTTTGTTGTTTTTAGCATGACCGAAGTAGTTTTCACGTCGCTAACGATGAGAATCGTTGGCTTGTTGTTTTTGGAGATCTTGTAATTCTGTTCGGGTGACTGGAAGGCATTGTTAACATAAATGGCCCGTCACTTACTCTTGAAAAATAATACAGTGTCTTTGTCACAACGAGTTAAACGAAAACAAATTCAAAACAGAGAGAACATGCGTGATAACTATTTCCTCACTTACGATGAACGACAGACGGCATTCTCGAAAAACTATGGCTACTTAATTTACGAAGTATTGACTAACTTTCTACAAATACTACATTGTTTTTTGAACTGCCTTTATCGCTTCCCGGGTATCGCCTCTGTCAGGAGAAGAAAAAAGAAGAAGACCTGGGGTTATACGTTCGAATGAGGCCTGGAAATGAAACAATACAGCAAAGTAACTGGTCAGCGG